CGATACATGGCCACGTGCTCTGTCCTGTTCTCCTCAGCCAGGCTTTTTTGGTTCCCTAGCACGATCCAAGCTACAGGGATTTGTATTTAATACTTGAGCTGGAAAATTACGCTGGAATCAATTAGAAAATGCCATTTGTGAGGTGTAACGTTTTCTAGAAATTCTTTAGAAAGGAAGGTTTCCTGCTGCTGGTGGAAAACTGATCAGACTGCTGCCTCTGCTCCTAGATGTTATTGCTGCGCTTGCCCCTAAGCACAGCGACGACCACCACGCGCCCGACTGCAAGCTGCTGGAATCGCCCAAAGCTCGGGCTGCAGAACGAGACGCTGCTGAAAGGTCGGTGGCTCCACCAATTGCTTCTGGTTCCCCCGGGTATCCTAAGTGGGTGCTTGAGCTGGTAGTGATAAAACAAATATAGATCACCTGCCGGGTGAATACCTGCTGCTTTCAGAGGGAGCTTGGGTCGTAGTTGGGTCCAGAGTCGCTGTGAGGTGGTGTTTCACAGCACGGCGTGTGTCTGTCATGACAGGCCGCAGGAAGCGCATTCTGCTGAATGCAAGACTCGCCCCAAAAGGAAACGCTGTGAAATCTGGGGAGAGAAGCCCAAGCAGAACGACTGGAGAAGAGTGGGCGACTGGCCCGTTGGGATGAAGAACATTGGAAACACGTGCTGGTTTAGCGCCGTCATCCAGGTAATCTGCTGGAAAGGTTCTGGAGGTGCTGCGGTCCTGGAGTCAAAATGCTTATGGTTAGAATTAAACGTGCAGCAGCTCTGTGAAGTGGTAGCTGTGTGCCCGTGCTCAAGTGAGACTTCCCTTTCCATTTGATGATTGTGATTTGTTCTGGGCGTGCACAGAAAGAGCCAAAGCTGTTAAATAGACTTTGTGTACAAATAGATACCTATAATCTGTGTGAACTTATGCAGGCTTTTTTTGGTGCAGTGATGTCCAAATGCTTGCTGAATGACAGAAGCTAGACTGGCAAAGTGAACTGATAATTTAATTTAGTGCGGTTATTGTTGGCTCCATGATGCACAGCCTATCATATTCCAGTTAATGGAATACACTGGCATAGCTGATTGAACGAATAAGCAGCGAGGCAGCAGATATTATTAGCGATAACGTACAGAAGAAGAGGCAGCAATAAGTGGAGCTGAGCAGATGTGTGTGTTGTAACCAGCTCACATCAGCAGGTAGACGTGAATCAGCGCATGTCTCCAGCTCTGAGAGGCACTGAGGAAGCTTCACATGAGCTCCTTCTCCCTGCAGCTTGTTCCTGGGTGTTTTTGCAAGCTCGCCTACACAGAATAGGATGGTCTGTCCTGACGTGGTTATGTGTTTCCTAGAAGTGGCAGGATGAGGTTTTGTTCTTTGGTGGGTACGAATCCACTGGGCGGTGATGGTTCAGTAACACGAGGCCATCCAAAAATTAGGAGTTAACCAAAAAGCAGTGGAGTAAGAGAGTGGCAGCGGGGCAGGGAATTGCGGTGGGTCAGATCCTCGTGGGTGCTGACTTCCTGCCCTCTCTGCTGGTTTAGCGCCGTCATCCAGTCTCTGTTTCAGTTGCCCGAGTTTCGGAGGCTGGTCCTGGGGTACTCCCTCCCACAAAACGTGCTGGAGAGCACCCGCAGTCACACTGTAAGTGTTCATCCACTGACGCTGTAAAGTCTCCCTCTTTTGTGCTGTGCCATTCTCTTTCTCTAAGCAGATTTAATTTGGGACCATCTGAGACTCCTGTGCCTGCGTTTAATGGATTTCAAATTGTCAGACTGCGTTAAAGACGAATTTGGGAAATACTTGTCAAAGACACAATCACTGTAGGAAAAATCAGATGCTTCTCGTAAAGCTTTCCTCTAGAGCTTCTCGCTGTGGCGCAGGGAGAAGTGTGTCCATAAATCTCCTTTGTTAGCTCCAGATTGTTGGTTTGCTCGCCCGCGCCGCAGAGGAGCGGGTACTGAGCAGCCTGAAGGTCCTTGTGCCCCAGTGCCTTCTGCAGAAGGCGCCTAGGAAATATTTGGAGGAAAAGGCACATGAGCCATCCCCTGCTTGTTGTCGTTCTGGCCTGTGGCCACTGACTTTGCTTTACTCGTGTGCCCTTGACACTCTCAAAACCCAAAGTGCAGACACAATAAATTCACCAGGTTTTGCCTTCTGTTTTAGCAGTTGTTTCTGTCACTCTTTTCTCTAAAGGTTTTGTTTTAGTTCAGTTGTTTGTCCCACGCATCCTTTGGGAGACCGGGTTGATTCCCAGAAATGGCACCGCGTGTCTTTGCTTTTGTCCTCTCTGATGTCCCCTCTTTCTGGGTTGTTAGGGTACCGCTGGTGGTGTGTGCCTGCGGTGTTGCGTGGCTCTCAGCTGTAGGATGCTGCTTTGTTTGAGCTGCAGGAAGGATTTGGCTTCTCTTCTTTTTGCACTGCAGGGAAAAAGAAACATTGCCTTCATGCAAGAGCTTCAGCGTCTGTTTGCGTTGATGCTGGGGACGCGCAGTAAGTTTGTAGACCCCTCCGCAGCGCTGGAACTCCTGCGGGATGCGTTTCGCTCGGCTGAACAGCAGCAGGTAAAACCTCATTGAAAGCCTTTTGCTTTCCTCCAAACACAGTCCTGTTTCACCTCATCCCGCTGCTGCTTTCGGAGCCCTCTCCCCATGTTTGTCAAGCGACAAGCAGCTGTCCCCGCGTCGTTTAGGCGAAATGTACGCCTTGCTAATTAAACAGCCAGCGTAACAGCGCTCTACCCAGCACCATCTGGGTGGTTGGGAGCGATGGCAGTAATTTCCTCTGCTCTAGTTTTCAGATGAGCAGGGCGTTCATTATGGGTCTAAACCAGCGCTGGGGTTTCGCGCTGCTGCGCGGGCGGGTGCAGCCGCAGCAGCCGGGTGCGTTCCAGCAGGTCTGCGGGGCGCAGACGTGGAGACGCTTTCCGGGCGCTGTCGCGTGACTCTCGGCTTCTGTCTCTCTTCCAGCAAGACGTGAGCGAGTTCACACACAAACTGCTGGACTGGCTGGAGGACGCCTTCCAGCTGGCTGTGAACGTCAAGTGAGTTTCCTGTGACCTGGCGCTGGGGAGAAGCAGGTTGTAAAAACAGGTTTTAAATGCGGTGCCTTAATAAACCAGAGGGCTCGATGTGAAAATTTTGAGTAAATCTGAGTTTCTTCTTTGCTGAGGATGATGCTCCTTAGGCTTGAACTCTGCTTAGGAAGTTCCGTATGTACATTTTCTGTAAGCATAGGATTTTATCTGGTGCCAACGGGGCCCGCAGAATAAATGTGCTTTTTAGGGGAACTCCACAGAAGTGGTGTACGTGACAGATCTGGGTTTTGGAACTGCATTTCCACAGGTAGCGCCTTAACTGGTTTGCTTCTTTCCCTTGCCAGCATAAGTGTTATGATGTGCTTTGAGTGTGGAAGCAGATGAGAAGCTTCCTCTGTGCTTATCCTTGGTAGAAAGCTTTGCTTTTGCCCGTAGGAAGGTTCCCAAGCACAGGCTTAGATGATGACTTGGGGCCTTTTGGCAGCTAAAAATGAACGCGTGCTTTTCCTTCCGAAACAGGACCCCTGGGGACAAATCCGAAAACCCGATGGTGCAGCTTTTCTACGGGACTTTCTTGACGGAGGGCGTCCATGAGGGTGAGTGCAGGGTTTGGCAGAGGCGCTGCTTAACTCCTGTGGGCGCTTGGATTTGTAGCAGCGGTGCCGCAGGCTTTTGTGGCACGTTCCTGATGGAGTGGCACCGTTCTTTAAACCTGATGAAATTGCCTGTAACTGTTGAAGTCTGTGTTCTGAAAGCAGTCAGCACTCCTGAGTGCTCATTTATATGGAGGCTCGTGGTTATAGACGTGCACACAGGAGCTCTTTTTGTGTTTCGGTTCCTGCGAGTGGTGCTGACAGCAAAGCCTTGAGTTAGGCAGGGGTTTTGTTCTCCACAGTCAGGTCACAGTTTTGTATCGTTTCCATCATGCAGGCAATACCTTTTCCAAGATCGAAACCTTTGGCCAGTATCCCCTGCGGGTAAATGATTATCACAACTTGAGCGAGTGCTTGGAAGGAGCCATGGTGGAGGGAGAGGTGGATGCGGCGGCAGCGTCGCGGTCGGTGGAGTACGGACTGCAGGTCAGTTTGGCTCCAAAAAGCAATGCATGTGGGCAGGGGTGCCTCGGTGTGCTCTGGTAGCTGTGAATGGCGACTGTGAATGTTCCCCAAGAACTGATGAGAAGGTATTTGCTGGATACTTGCACTCTCACGTAAATGTACGTGGTGAGGCGCTGTCTTTGCTTATTTGTAAAGATGTGTTGTCCTAGATAAGCAGTGTGAGCAGCTTGTATTTAATGACAAAGGTAAACGTCTGCTTCTGATGCAAGTGTGGTAAAGTCTCTCTCTTTCTGTTGAAGCCTACCTGTACCTGAGTAGGGGGAGAACCACTGCCTCCACATTTTCGGAGGGTAAAAGTACAGTGCTTAACTCCATGGTATGCCATTTGTGATTTGTCTCTTTCTCCCTATTGCAGTGTGTGGTTTTTTCCTTCTCATCTTCACTCTTCTGACTGTGCTGACTTATTTTCTTTTTAAATCTCTTGAATCACAAAGCAATCATCAAATATTCAGTTGCAGCGAAGTTACATTCAGCGTCCTACGTGTGTGAGAGCGGCTGAGAAGTTGTCTTAGGGAAAGGCTGGGAAACAACAGTAGGAAATGTGCAGCGCGGCAGGGAAAGGTGTTTCAGCTCCATGGGAACGTCCAAAATGTGCTGCAGAGGAGAAACAAAGCCCTGCAGTGTCTGCTCCTGGTGCTCCCAGTGCCGGCCTGAAGCTGTGCGGGTGCATTTAGAGCAGACGTGGGTGATAGTGGATCAAACTGGGAGCCAGAGGGGAGGAGATGTAGCAGCTCACAGGTCCTTTTCAATCCCAGCTTTCCCGTTCCTGCAAATCCTTCTCCAAAAGACGAGGGACACTGGATAATTGTGGAGATGTTGGACTCCTCCTTTGTACCGATAGGGAGAAAGGCTCTGGGTTTATTCCTAAGAGATCCCACTGGAAAAATGCATCTTAGTTTCCCTTCCTAGGATGTTGTGGCTAGAGGACTGCATGACAGGGCACATTGAGCATAAGGTGCATTTTGTATTTGAGAGTGCGTGTGAGCGTACTCAAGGCATCAGTGGGGTCAGTGAGAGCTTACATTTCTCCCAGATCATGGGTGTGTACATCATTCCTGCCGTGTTCATGGAGATTGGGCTGCTTCTCAAAAGGCTCTGCTACCTGCCCATTTCCTCCCAAAGGTTTTTTAGTAGTAACTTTTAAAATTCACCTTTGTTGAAGTATTTTAGATCTAAAATGTGCTGCCGCCGTTTGGCGTGGGGCAGATTCGTTGCAGCAGGATGTGCTGGGAAGAGGGAGAGGAGGTGAAAACCCAGCCGAGAATCCTTGAAGCGGTGCATGAAATGGGCAGAAAGGGGGGTTCTTCTCTGCATCTTCCAAAATGGACAGCTTGTGCCTAGACTGAGAGAGGACGAGCGATCGGGCGCTGCTTAAGGGCTTCTGTTCTGCTCTCCATCACTGCATGTGCTCTGCACTGGGAAAACCTCTCCTGGAGGCTCTCAGCTGGCGTCCAGTTTGCTTAGTGTCTGCTAATTGTGTAAGAATCGGTGTTGGACCCGTTAATAATCCATCAATTATGCGGCAGGCAATGGAAACGAAGCTTCTTCACAAAGTGTACAATGGAAGGGGAAATTTTAATCTCGTAAAATTTAGCTTTTTGTCTCATCACTCTCTAAACCAAATAAATACTAAATCAGTATTTAAAGACAAACTGACATTTAGGATCGGTCTAAAATGTGCTGTTTAGCAGTCATCTTAAAACAAGTCCCTTTGGGGGCATTTCTGCTTTTGTTACAGCGCTGGTTTACAAAACTCCCACCAGTTCTGACCTTTGAACTCTCCCGATTTGAGTTCAATCAGTCACTAAGGCAGCCAGAGAAAATTCACACCAGGCTAGAGTTTCCCCAGACTATTTATATGGACAGGTGAGTTGCGCTGCTCCTCGGTACGTTCAAAGCTATCGCTTTATTTGCAATTAAAGCAATTAAGCAGGTCTTACGGGTGAGCGAGGAAGGATGCTGAAGTATTTGTGAACGATTGTGGCTATCGGAAGTAAAAACCTCACGTGGAGGGGCTCTCTGTTTCCCTGTTCAGATACCTCTACTGCAGTAAAGAGCTTATCCAGAGGAAGAGAGAAGAAATGAGGAGACTGAAGGAGAAACTGGGGGTTCTGCAGCAGAAGCTGGAGAGGTGAGAAGTCCACTGATGTTATTGCTGTGCTCCATGGGAGCGTGCAGATGCGTCCTTACAAAAGAGCTCTCCCATAGAATGGAAACTTGTAGGGGCAGGAGAAGCAGCGCCGGGTTTGCTCTGAGAAGCATGGGGCGGTGCTTTCGGACACGGCTCCCGTCGCTGGTGTGGCTGTCTCCATCCCGTCCCATCGCTGTTCCGGTGTCCCTCAGGGATCACCCCAGCATGGCGTTCCCGTGTTTCTCCACAGGTACATGGAGTACGGCTCTGGCGCCGCCCGCTTTCCCCTGCCCGACATGCTGCGGTACGTCCTGGAGTTCGTCGCCACCAAGGCAGCGGCGCGGGGCCCTCGGGCAGCGCCCCTGCGGTCCCACACCCGGCCCCCTGTTCCGGACGTGGCCTCGCAGCCAGACAGGTCAGCAAACAAACAAACACAGACCCTGGGTGGGGGAACACCTCGCCTTGCAGCGCAGTGCTGCTGCTTGGCACTCCAAAACTGGACTATTTAACTGGGCACTGGGGAGCGTGATGCTGTAGTGTGTGAATGCCTCTGCAGGTACTCGGTTTGCTCCCAGTTTGGTTCTGTTTGTGTGAATATAACACTGCATCAAGTCAGTTCTTCCTTTTCCAAAAACATCACCATATTCCCTGTCTAAGCAGCAATTCTGAGTTAAATTATGTACTCTTTGTGGTTAGTCTGCTAATTTTTTTTGCTTCACCAACCAGTAAATCGCTGCATTATTGCATTATTACAAACATGCCCAGCATGGTTGGTTTTCGCTCTAAATTAAGCTGAGTAAATACATCAGGTTCTTAGTGGTAAGGGAAGGAATTTTTGGAGTCGTTCACTGTGGAGCTGTACTTACAGAGTTCTGTAAGAAGTTTAGCTTTTCTGTGTCCTGTATTTTAATTGGTCTCTTAAGGAAGAAGTACATCTCAATGCACTGTTCTCTTCAGGTTTTGTACTGTCTTGGAAGGGAAGTCCTGCTCTGGCTCTGGAGCAGTTGTTCTGTGGTTGATTTCATATTCTTTTCTAAAAGGAGAATTAAAAGCCTGTCCACTGCTCTTGGCTTTTCTTTGCAGCTCACTAGAGAGGAAGGACGGGGAGCCTGAAGACGGGGCTTTCTTTTCGGCAAACCCCTCGCCGCAGCAGAAGTCGAGTGCGCCACCGCAGCCGTGTGCTTCTCCAGAGGAAATGGAGACGAGCGAGCACCCGGCTCCTCAGGCAGTTTCCGAGGAGGAGCTGAGCCTGGTTCAGACGTGTCTGCAGCGATGGAGGAGCGAGATCGAACGAGATGTGCAAGGTTGGCCCCAGCTTCATTGCTGTCATTTTGCTGTCGAACGCCAGCTCATTTCCCTCTGTGCTTGCTGGGTACGTCCTGACCTGCGACGAGTTCTGTGCAGGCCCCAGCCCTGGTGTTGGGTGTATCTGATGCTTACTGCATAGCTTCCGTCTTTGGAAGTGAAGGGGGCGGGTTAGCCTGACGAGTAGTCATTAGTGTTGATGAATTTCTCTCATTTGTGATGTTGGCAGATCTGAAGGAGTCCATTGCCAGGATCAGCCTGTCCATTGAACAGATGTACTGTGACCCCCTCCTCCAACAGGTAGGAAATGCTGCTTCGCTAGGGAACCATTAAACTGGTGGTGTTGATGCTGCTTTTTGTTCATCGCTGTCGGTTTAAGTTGTCCACATTGTATTTAAAAAAACTCAATATTATGATGAGGTAGATAAAGGATTCTCTGTGAAAATCATGCTGATTTTTCTCCTTAAAGGTCAGTTCTTACCTGGTGGGAAGTTTACCACATGAACAGAGTTTGGTCCTAGGCTACAGCTTTGGGCATATCTGCGATTTGGTGCAGAGGTCAGGCAAAGTCATTGACTAAAAGTGCGTCTGAAGACGATGTCCGTGTGAACTCACAGGTTCCCTATCGCCTGCACGCGGTCTTGGTCCACGAAGGGCAAGCGAACGCTGGTCACTACTGGGCCTACGTCTACGACCAGGGCCGGCAGAGCTGGCTCAAGTACAACGACGTGGCGGTGACTGAGTCGTGCTGGGAGGAGCTGCAGAGGGACTCGTTCGGGGGCCTGCGGAACGCCAGCGCCTACTGCCTGATGTACACCAGCGATCGGGAGCCCCGCGGCGCCGCAGGTACCGCAGCCGCTGCTTCCTTAGGCCTTGGTGCGTTATCATCGTTGGGTTCCTCAGCGTCTCCTTGGCACAGCTGGCTCTTCACAACGCCAAAAACTGCACCCCTGGTAGAAGGGAAGTCATTTGCTCCAAACCCCATTCATTAAGGTTGCCAACAGAGCTGTGCTGGGCGATTCAGCACAGCGCTTTGTGGCTTATTAACGTGTGTGAATATTCAAGCTCCCATTTTGCCACTTGGAACGTGGCTCTGCTGCTGGAGTTTTTCACCGTGACTCTTTATATCGTTTATACGGCAGTGTTTCCTTTGCGAGGGCACGTGAAAGGGCTCCCACTTTATTCCTCCCATTTTTACCACACTTTCTGACTTGCTGGCCTGGTTTTTGGTGATACCGTGATACTGAACCTAAATGGGGCTCTTTTTATGCAGCCTTTCGTAGTGCATGAGTTATTGGTAGCAGCGGCTGAGGCTCACGAGTACATTTGCAGTGCCAACTTATAAATAGTTCTGTGGAGAATTATCGTGCACGTGGCACTATACAGGGCAAGCAGCTGTAGAAGAACCTAATAATTTCACGCGTGGTTCATTTTGCTGTAATAAATAGCAAGAAACAATGGAGAACCGTCGCTCTGTTCACTGCTGAATGTGGCTGATGGGTTTCTGGAGGTTGTTCTTTGTCTGTCTTCCCATCACAGTTCCATTTCTGAAATGAACCCGTGCTTTGGGCTTTTTTCCCCCCCTATTTAATGCAACTTTCGTCGTTTTTTCTGAGGATGCTTTGCTTTTACGATGGGTGCATAAGAAATATCTGGTGTAGAGAATTGCCGCTTGCTTTTGATAAATTTTAGGCCTTGTCTGAAGCTGCTGCTGGTCAGGTTTTGTGCCATTTTCAAACCAAATACCGAAGTAGATCTAAAAGGTGCTGAGAAATAGCAGCATGATGCACATGGTGTTGGATCCACGCAGTTCCCTACCTTTCTGTGCTATGTAGCATTGTAGGTACGGTGTCTCCAGCTGAACTGGGAATTTTCCAGCTCTTGGCAGTTCAGACGCTGTTTTCTGTGCACTGGCCTTGAATAAGGATGCGTTTCTGACGTCCTGCATCAGCAGGCGCTGTTTTTGGCGTTCCTCTGTGATCAATGCCATCCAGTGGTAGAACAGAACCGGGTTTTGTTTCAGATAGGTCTGTGGGTTTGTCTTTAATTTTGCGCTGTAGCTTCTGAATGGTCTTAAATCACAAAGCCAGTAGAAATTTGGCTCCGTAACATGGTGTGTTTGTTTAGTCCCCGGTGGTGGGGTCCAGCTCCAAGGCGTTTTCTTCCACGTGTTTCACGCAGACGCGGATGGTGGCTGCGAGGGGGGACAGGCTGGGACGGAGACGGAGGCGCTGCCCCCGGAGCTGCGGCTCTACGTGCAGGAGCAGAACTGGCGGCTGGAGCAGGAGGCCGAGGAGTGGGAGGAGGAGCAGTCCTGCAAGATCCCGCAGATGGAGCCCTCGCCCGCCTCCGAGTCGCAGGACCCCTCATCTGAGTCAGGACCAGGTAATCCCCGTCTGCATCTGCAAACCGTGTTGACGTGGGTGATGGGCAGCGGGGCGCACACAGCGCTGCCTGGGAGCCTGGCCTGAATTTATGGATGCCTGGGGGAACGGTGGGTGAAGCAGCAAGGGCAACTGGCAGAGGCTCTGTCCTGGCCATGCAGAAGGCTGGTTGTCCATGTCTGCACGTGCATCCTTCCAGGCTGTTTTCCATTCGTTTAATCGTAATGGGTTCATCTCATTCCACTTCCAGACTCGTTATTTTTTTAATAAACATCGAGCAGAAAATGCTCGAGCGCTGCTCTCCGGAGTGGGGCAGCGTTACTTGGCAGTCCCTGATGGTGTGTGCTGTACCTGCTGCTGTGCACAGGCTCACAGGGAAACGCTGTCACCTCCTGGTGAAGGCAGCAGCGGCTCCATCCCACATGGACAGAACACAGGACATGGTAGATCAGGAGGAGAGATCCTGCTGTTCGTGCTCACTGATGCTTTCCTCTGTCCCACAGATCCGTCTGCGGTCTGTGAGCAGAGCGTACGCACGCTGTCCTCGGAGCACGCCATGATCGCCAAGGAGCAGACTGCCAAGGCCATCGCCAACACCGCCGACGCCTACGAGAAGAACGGGGTGGAGGCGGCTCTGTGCAAGGTAGGAGCTGAGCCCTGGCCCGGGACGAACCCTGTGGTGTTATTCTCCTTGACAGACCTGTGCTTTTTCCATTTCCGTGTCCTTCTGCAGCTGTGCCACGTTTCACTCTGTCCCCTTTTGCTTTCCTGTGTTTTGCTTTGACTTCTCTCGCTCTTTCTCTCCTCTCTCCCTGGCCGCAGCCCACGGAGGCAGAGCCGCTGATGGCCCAGCCGGGAGAAACCGCCCTGACGGTGCAGGCAGCGCCGGCGCAGGACGCTCCGGACGCGGCAGCTGCTGCCCAGGGCAGCTCGCAGGTCTCTGAGGTGGAAATCCCCAGCGTGGGGAAGATCCCCGTTAGATCCGATGCAGATGGATATAACGAGGAGGTACAGATCCCAGCGCAGGGGTTAATTACTGCCGTTCGTTAACCTGCAACTGTGCAGTTGGCTGGCTTTGAGCGCTCCCGAGGCTGGGTACGGCCGTAGACTGTCACAGAAACAATGCTGCTCACGTTTTCCCATGTGGGGATGAGGGCAGCCAGACCAAATAGTTTAGTAATTTTGTTTTTGAATGCCGTCAGAAGCAGCTCTGCAAAAGCATTCAACCATCGGGTCTGTACGTTGTTCTGTAAGTCTTCTTTCTGGCACAACGATACCAAAATTGATCCCAGCGGCGTTAATTTATTGACAAGCCTCTGTGCTGTCTTCAGTTGGAGTTTCATCCCCTCGCTCAAAGGCATTGACTGCTGATAGCACGGTACCACAGCTACTGATTTAATGACTCTGCTTAACCGCACTCGTCGCTGCTCGAGCAGCGCGTTGGAGGCTCACCCTCCCTCACAAGTGCAGTTGGATTTCAGTACCGAGACCGCTGCTCCTTGAGTACGTTTGCTGTGCGCTGGTGTGAAGCTGGCACAATGAACAGCTCTGCCATAGGCCCTGCTCTCCTTACATAGCTCAGGAAGGTGGAGTGGGCGCAGGGGATGTGGCTGCTGTCCTCACTGGTGGGATCTGAAATCTAAAATCAAGGCTTGGAGTAACCAGCCAATAGACCTTGAAGTGCCTGAGAGCCCCTGCATGCGAGTGCGTGTGGATGGAGTGGTACAGAAGTGAATCCCAGCTCTGGCTCGTCCCGCCGGGGTCCATACGATTTCCTTTGCACCTTATCTTCTGCAAATGTCTTCCTTTCTTCACCGTGCCTCTCTTCTTTCCCTGTCCCCATGTCTCCTGTCCTCGTCTGTTTTCCTGCGCCCGTGGCAGGTGATGCTGAGCCCAGCCATGCAAGGGGTCATCCTGGCTATTGCGAAAGCCCGGCAGACCTTTGATCGCGATGGGTCTGAAGCAGGGCTCGTCAAGGTATCTCGTTTGTTTGCTGAATCCAATAGCACGGATATCTGTGCTCACAAAATGAAGAATCTATGCTCTATTGATGTACCGGGCGTGCGAGGGGAAGGAATTGTGCGGTTTTTCCACTGTTTCGTGGCCTTTCTGTCCTGCGTTTCTGTTTCTGCTCTTGCTGTGACAGCACAGCCCTGGGTTCTGAGCAGTGTTCAGAGCCTGTGGGGAACAGCTCCCTCCTCCCAGCAGAAACAAGAACCTTTTGTCTGCTTATCCTTTTCCTATTGGCAGTTCTCTCAATCTGGATAATGAAAAGCAGATTTCTTTGCGTGCCTTTCAGAACCTGTTGTCTCAGTCCTCAGTGCGATCATAAGGAAACAAACCAGCACTCGAGAAGGGGGTTTTGTGCTGAACACGCACGCTTACTGGGACCTCTCTTGTAAATTGTGTCCACCAAAACGTGTGTTGAGTGGAGGGATTTGAGGGGATCAGCGCTGCTGAACACTGCAGCTGCTGTTAGGCCCTACAGGCAGGGGAATGGAACTAAAAGTGACACTTGGGAGACACCACCCGTGCTCTAAATCTCCAGGAATGTAAATCACGAGGTACTCTTGCACCGTGTGTAGATATAAGCGGATTGCAATTGATTTTTACAACCCCAGCACTTGCCAGGGGGTTACCAAAATGGTCAGCCGTGGTCGTGCAGAGAAGCGTTTGGACACCCCGCTGCTGTTGGAAAGGTGTTTGTGGAGCGCGGCCGCGGCAGAGGCTTTGCCCGTGGCAGCCCTGCTGTCGCGAGGCCGGCGCGCGCTCGGCGTTGACGCGCGTTTCTCGTCAGGCGTTCCACGAGGAGTACTCACGGCTGTACCTGCTGGCCAGGGAGACCCCGACGCCGCAGAACGACGCGCGGCTGCAGCACGTGCTCATCTACTTCCTGCAGAACAACGCCCCGCAGCAGGTGGTGGAGCGGACGCTGCTCGAGCAGTTTGCGGACAAAAACCTCAGCTACGACGAGAGGTCGGTGCCGTGGGCTCCCGGCCGGGGCTTTGCCGCCCTGGCGGCGGTTTGGTTCTGACCCCTGTGGTCTCTGCTTGCGCGGAGCAGGTCCATCAGCATCATGAAGGTGGCGCGAGCGAAGCTGCGAGAGATCGGCCCCAACGACGTGGACATGGAGGAGTACAGGGTAAGGGCTGGGGGATGGACTCGTGCGCGTGTGTTGCGGGTGATGCTGACGCTCTGCCCTCTCGCTGCTCCCCGCAGAAGTGGCACGAGGACTACAGCCTGTTTCGCAAGGTGTCCGTCTACCTGCTGACGGGGCTGGAGCTGTACCAGAACAGAAAGTGAGTCGCCTTGCGTTGGCCGTTCGGGCGAGATAAGCTGCAGCCTGGGAATGGAGGCCCCTTTGACAGAACAGCCTGGTCCAGACCCGTGCTGGCACTTTGCGTTTGAGGCCAGTGGGTTTTCCTTTTGGCTTGCCCATAGCCCCTTCTTAATCCACAGTCAGCCCTGGTTAACAGTTTGAGTACCTCCTGACACGGCTTTGCAGCCTTCTCCCTCATTTTTCCTTTAACTTTTCCCACTGTAATGCAGGGTTTTCCAGTCTCACTTCCTGAGGTGGATTTGCAGGAATTATTGCCATCACTCTTTTTGCTCTTCAGGGCCCTGTGTTAAGGTTAAACTGCCTTGAATTGGGTGTTATGTTTTGTGTAAACACAGCCTTTGGTGTTCTCCGGGCTCTCAAGACTTTTGAAAGGGCCTTGTTTTCCTCCTGACTGTTTGAGGACCTGTGCTTTACATAAATAGTGCGATGCGGAGAAGGGCAGTGCCGTTTTATGAAAGATTTGTCATTTGAAAAGTGATTTTTTCCAGTCTGGTAAATAAAACGGCTTTTGGAAATTATTCGTGGATGGAAACAGAGCTGAATTTGACGGTGGCTGGCAGGGAAAAGTCACCAAGTTGGGGTGGGCACAGTGACCAGAGGAGTTCCCCTGAGGCAACCCTGTCTCTGTGTGGGTTCACCTGACCCCAGAGGCCCAGTGTCGGCCGTAGAAATACATAAAGGGACTGAAAACATCGCCCCGTGCCCTTCTTGGAGCACTCTCCCAAAGTGCAGAGTTCCCAGGGCAATACAGGAACACATCAGCACTGCCGTTCCTGCTCAGGCCACGTTGTCACAGCCTTGGCTTTAGAGGCTCTGCCCAAGATGCTCGTTTGGCTCCTGGACCGAAGGGAGCATTAATTACTTGACGCAGAGCATCGTTTGTTTACCCTTTGGCTTTTCCTGCTGGGCCCGGTGCTTGTTACCACTCGGGCCAAGTGGGAAACCTTTCCTGAGCTGCCGGGACCGCGGCACCACAGCCATGACCCTGTCAGGACCCTACGCTCTGCCCTAGGTACCAGGAGTCCCTGACGTACCTGATCTACGCCTACCAGAGCAACGCCAAGCTGCTGCTGAAGGGGGCCAACCGCGGCGTGGACGAGGCGCTGATCACCCAGTACAGGCGCGAGTGTCTCCTGGTTGGTGCGGGGCGCGGGGGCGGGCGGGGGGCACGGCCTGG